TTCCCCGCCGACCTGCCCTTCTTGCCCGTGTGCTCCACTTGTGTCCCGATCTTGACCATGTCCGCCGTTACCTTTNCCGCGTAGAGCATGGCCCACAAGACCTCCGCGTCCGTCACCACCGTCGTCCTCTTCCCCGCCGACTTGCCCTTCTTGCCCGTGTACTCCACTTGTGTCCCGATCTTGACCATGTCCGCCGTCACCTTGGGGTCCTTGTCGAACTCGGTCACTGCGACCATGCGCATCGCGGCAGAGAACAAGTTGAACAGCAGCGGGGCCAGGTTGCACCCCTGTCGGAGACCTTGGCCGACGTCAAACCATTCCGAGTACTGCCCGTCGTCCGTTCGAACCCGCGCCCTCATGCCCTCGTGGAAGTGGCGAATGACCGCCAGCATCTTCGGGGGCACGCCAAAGCGTCCGAGCACGTCCCACAGCAGATCTCGGTCCACCGAATCGTACGCCTTGGTGAGATCGACGAAGCACGCGAAGACCGCAGTACTCTTCTTCCTCGCGAGCTCATGGAGCCGCTGGATGGCGAACAGCATGTCGAGCGTCGACCGGTGTGGGCGGAAACCGCTCTGCTCCTCCGGGAGGATGCCCTCTCGCTCGCAGTAGTGGCTCAGTCGAGTAGCGACGACCTTAAGCAGCACCTTGCCGAAGAGTGCGACGAGAGAGATGCCCCGGTAGTTGCCGCACTCCATCGTGTCCCCCTTCTTGAACAGCACTTTGATGGTGGCATCCTTCCACTGCTGTGGTACGTCCCCAGTCTGCCACACGTCCACGACAATGGCGTGGAATTCGCGGAGGAGACCTTGATCTCCGTCCAGGAAAAGCTTGATCAGCTCAGCCGGTAGGTCGTCCGGCCCGACGGCCTTTCTGTTGGCCATTTCCCGTACCGCTTCCTCAACCTCAAGTAGAGATGGGATGTCGTCGAGTGGCACGCACGTGGGCCACCGCTTGACCTTGTCAGCCGCATGCAGGTCGATGGTCGGCGACTTGGTGTTGAGAAGCTTGCGGAACCACCGTGCCCACCGTTGGCGAACAAACGTTGGGTCCCCCAAGGACCTCGCCGTCCTCGTCCTTGATGTTCTGAGAGGTGAACAACCTCTTACCTTTGACGTCGTTCATCTTCAGGTGCCTGTAGAAACCCGCCTGATCCCCCTCGCGGCTCTTCTTATCGAGCTGCCGTACATAGCCCGCGAAGAACGTTTCCAGTGCTCTCCACCTCGTGGTGCTGCGCTTCTTCCGCGCCTCCTTGAGCATCGCCTTCAGGGTCGCCTCGAAGGCGCTGTTCTTAGAGGCCCCACGCAGTTGCTGCTGAGCGCCTAAATCTCCTTAGACGGTTCAGAGATCTCATGCTGTGCTTCGCTCGTGTACTAGCCTCTCTGCCCTCGTGCGCACCTCACCAGCGGCGAGGTCTCAGCAGCGGCCGATATCACCGTAGCCGTCAGCTCGGCGGCGGTCTCTCCCGTTGGCCGCCTGAGCGCCGTGGGCGGAGGGCGGCTGGAGGCCCTGTTTTGGAAGGCGACCCGTAGGTGTTTGTCCTTCCTCAACCGCTCGAGGTCGATACGGATCCGGCTGCTTCCGCTGTTTCCCCGCGCTCGTCGGTTGGGTGCGACACGGGGGGGGAGGCGGACAGTCGTAAGCACGAGGTTGTGGTCAGAGTCTTTGAAGTCGACACGTTTGACGGAGACATTACGCACGAAACGCCGGTCCGTCTGACGCATGAGGATGAAGTCGAGGCGGTACTTCTCCTTTCCCTTGTTGGAGCTCTGGAATGTGTGCTGCACTCCACCTTTCGGTGTCCGGAAATAGGTGTTGGTCGGAGAGAGTTGGTTGTCTGATGCCAGTCCAGGGAGTCGTACCCCGTTGTTGTTCATAGTGTCGCGTCCGTACGCGCCCATAATCTTGGCATCGCAGCACCCGTCTCGCCTCCT